TAATTTAATATAATGTCTTAAAAAATTAATTTGAATTTTTATGTTTTTTATTACTATGTAATATTCAAATTTTGCTATATTTACATATATATTTACTTCAATATATTTATTTAGATTTATTATCTATTATAAAACAAAGTGTAAATAACTTAAAATGTTAAATATGTTTCATCATATTTTTTATCACAAATAACTAATTAACTCGAACGTTTAGATATTATCACGCATGCTCTTGCATAAAACTGATATGCAAGAGAAAGTCATTTCCGGGAATAATATGATGGAAACTGATTTGCATATGCGATTAATTGCCAATGTTGTCTCTATTGATTTTTCTTAGTTAAACCATTCTCTAGAAATAAAGTTAAAATCTACAATAATATTTATACATTAATATTTGAATAATTTTTGAAAACATATTACAAACTATTTTTAAGCATTTAATAAAATGAACACAATATTTAAAAAAGACAAAAATTTTATAAATTTTTAAATTCTATTTTTTCAGTTTTTAATAAAACAACAAACTCTTCTTCTTTCTTAAATATAATATAAATTATTTTTATATATGCATGCAGAAATTAAATAATTACAACATATTAATTTATAATTATAATTTTAGCTTTGAAATAAAGAGAATTTGAAATAATTCTTTTCTTAATTTAAATATAAAATTAATAATTTATTCCAGAAGATAAATTTTTGAGTTTATATTACCCGAATTTATAGATGTAATATCACACATATGAAACTTCCATTGCTACTTATTAAGACAATGTAAATGATCCTTAAGGCAATGTTAAATGAGTTCAGTTATCGATGTCTCACGTATAATAAGAATGACCTAAATTCCTTTTGATAAATATGTTAAATGTCAATTATTTTCGATTCGCCAAAATTAAAACTGTATTTAAAAATTATTTCTAAGTAGAAATTCTTCTAATAAGACAATTATAGTTAAACATAAATTAGCCAGAAATAAAATAAATTTGTTTTATTTATAATATTTATTATTATGTCATGCAATTTTATAATACAATCATTTAATTGTCTAATAAATTATATAATTTTCTCATTCTCATATTATAATTTAATAGAATTTAATTACAAATATTTTCTTATAAAATATAAAACCTTTTTTATCTATTAAAATAAAATTGAATAATACTTCAAAAACTACTTTTTGGATAAACTTTTTTGATAGTTTTACAATACTTTATTTAATTAAAATTTTCGATTTTATTTAACATAAAGCAAGGGAGAAACAGACAGAGAAATTTATCTTTTCACACGTGTGTTTAATAATCATAAATCAAATTTTAATTAATCCAGATGTTTCTTGTTCGATACATCGTGAGCAAACATCGCTTATCAGACAAACATTGGCTTTAAAAAAATTTATTAATACATATTTATATTTTTATACGTTGCGTCTTAAAAATAAAAATTAATTTGATTAAATAATTTACAATTAATAATTTAACAATTATTCATATAGGTATCACATTACAGTTATTTGTATAGCATATTGAGATTATATGAGAATATTTTACCGAATATTTTTTCAACTCAAAGAAATAAAACATATAATTGCGAGAAATTTAGGATAAAAATATTGGATTATTTATTAAAAAAGTTTACAATTTTAATTTTAAATGCAATTTGTAACAGTTAAAACCATTTATGCAATTTGTAACAGTTTAAAACATTATGCTGAATATAATAAAATTTACATTCATGTATTATTTCTCTCAGAGAAATAACACAAATCAAAATTTATGAAATTATGACAACTGTGTTTTTTATTATCTAAAATTAATTCTGTATTTATGTAATTTATTTTTATGCATAATGATGAAGGTTTATGCAAACATATAAACATATAACTTTTTCGAACGGAACGAGTGCGACAGATATAATTGCGTGGGAGAATAAAAACGCATAAACCGGATACGCGCACCGATTAATTACGACATATTTAAAGATAAAAAAAGAATAGCTTTTCAAAGACTAATAACGTGAAGAGAATAACGTGAAAAATATATATATAAAAATACTTGTAGAAAGTTCTTTTTATAAATAATCCCAAGCTTCTTAATTGCCTTATTGAGATCTATACGAAAGAAAAATGTATTATTCGAAGCGGAATGTGTTCCTCCTACGTTTTGTGCAATCTCCAATCTTGCATTTCTGAACAATTTCCACTAATTTCTACTTTCAAAAAGTTCTGAGGATATGAAAAATATTTTTATTTCTATATCCTTTTAATAGCTAGTTTTTAAATGTGCTTGTAATTTTTATAAAAAGAACAGGTGTCACTTTATTCGATCGGATTAAATAATCGTGATCGTAAATAGTAACGTGCCTGATAATTGGGACAGATTCTTCCGGAGGTCTACGCCAAGAGTAAAATCGATAACTCGTGCCGGGCTTCAAGCAATATCATACAGTTAGTCCGTCATATTGGCGCCGTAAGGACGCGTCTATTCACGTTTATATCTATTTTTCCGTGGTGGAAACAGTGTAATATAATCTTATCTGTGCAAATTTATTTGCACCAGTTTAATTTAAGACTATCATTTAGTGTATCAATTGTCTTACAAGAAGGTGAGGACTAAAGGTGAGCTCTTTGTTGTCTATTAGTCTAATAACATATAACTTCAACGAAATCTTTGTGATTAATGTAAAACATAAAAGTTTAATGCTATTTGTAATTTTATTTTGCCACTGGCATTGTATTTTTCAAACAGCCTATCAGTTGTTACTGTAGAATTATTATTGAAGATAATGCCGGTGTGAGAATAAAACTCGATAACGATTCTAACGCATTAACAGCTATCCAATCTATATACCCTGTATTTTCTAATATGCATATTCGCGACGGCACAATTTTATGCCGCATCATATTTTTTCCACGGTCGATAGAGAAGAATCTGTCAATCGGTAAAGAAGTTTACTATGACGTAATTTACACACAAATGTAGATGTAGAACACATGCACGAGTGTTTTCTATTTACGTTAATACGCGTGATCTTCTGGCGTAGAACCTGACTCACATTTCTGCGTGGGTGTACAAACTGGTTAAACGTCCGTTCTATAGATGTCTCCATTGATATTGTAAAAGAAAAGATAATATAAAATAATTTGTGGATCTTATAGATCTATATTGTTGCTAAACAATTCTTAAATAAATAGTCTAAGTTATTATATATTGTTTCTCGTATATTTCATGAAAAGGTATAAGAGATTCACTGAAGAAACTGCTGTGAATTTTATCAAGACTTATAGTAATTATGAAAAAAATACATTTTTATTTTGCATTACTAAAACATAGATTTTATGAGATATCGAAATGACAAAATATTACAATATTTATATATGTGTAACGTTTGGCCAAGGAAGTGATGCAAACACAGTACATGATGATCCAATCGTTGGATTGCGAAGATCTTCGTTCTACTAACCTATTCTATTGAGTATTAATTTCTACAAAGTATTTTCAAATTATTAAATTCACTTAGTACTTTATTATCTTTAAAAGATAGTTATACAGTTAATATAAACTTTAATATTCAATTTTTTTACATTTCTTCATTTGGATAAAAATAAAATATACAATGCAGGAAAAATAAGCCAATTGGTAAATTTAATTAATTTATATATTTAACAACATAGAAGTATAACATAATACTTTCAAGAAGTACAATACTTTTTCATTTTCCCTTTCATTTTCTCATATTTTCCATTTACACGTTCTTCTCTTCGTCATGTTGCAATACGCATACATCAAATATAATAAACGCGTAAGATAAGAATTTTGTTTCATCACTTAATAAATCATATCGATAATACGCTTATATCTACCTGATGATTAATAATATATGAATGAACGACTACGTAATTCATGTTGCAGAATTTAATATTTGCGTGCCATTTAAATATCCGAGCATCTTTAGCGTTCAAGCAAAATTCTTCGAGTTCGTGCTCGTATATTTCACGCACTTGTATAAAGTGTGAAACAAATCAATATCGTCTCCGATAGAAATTTTTTTGATGAAGCGTTTGCGTAAACCGTTGCAAAATACAAATAACAATCATAGAAGACCTTGCATCGAGAAAATGATCCGTGTAATGGCATACTCGTCGCGCTGCCATTACTTAATGAAATTGGTTGTGATATCATCGCGAAGTTTTTACATATTCAGAAAATCTTCCGTACTTTTATTGTTTTCAACAGCATTTTTAATGTCTCGAATAACCTAGATATTTTTTATCGTTAATTTGTTAGAAAACTGAATGCCTCGTTTAGCGTGGCATCAGATTACTGGCGTGCGTCGCCACAAAGAGCGAGATATAAATTTATGCTCGAAGCTTCCTGCACAGTTTGTACATATTACGCATATACTTGTCGATGCGCGATTAGTTTCACGTTTTCACGGATTCCACCGGCGATTTTCTCATGAGTCACGACTCGTGAGCGTGACTCACATAGCCGCGTTCAAGTTCCAGTCGCTCTCAGTTTGTACCTGTTTCATCCTAATTTATTAATGTGCGGCCTAATGCTAAGATCCCGCAGTCGTGTCATGCTAATCGCCACCAATAAGAAGGATCGTCTTTTTTCTCAATCATCGCATTCCGCTTGGTACTGAATATATTTTAGTGTTATTAACGTCAATGTTGCAAAGTTATGTGTATAACTCATTAACACTTAATACGATATTTCTATATTTATCTTCTTTTTTCACTGTTTGGCTCTTCACTCTGGCTTTTCACTCTTTGTGAATTGAATGATTTTCATAATCATAATGAGATAAATTCCAAGGAGATTTCCGATGGAAAATTTGCAATGCATGCGATTAACTGATTTAATTCTAATAAATGTTGATTTTAATCGGGTAAATAGTTTACTTGTAATTACATTTCACAAAAAAATCAATTACACATTATTGTAGATATTTACTGCATCTTTTTCTGTTCTTGTTTTTTTATTGTTGTAGAAATATTCCATATTACATGTGTGAGATGCATTGGCAAACTCCAGCACATCAAAATATGAAAATATAAAATTTTCTCTACTCAAAGGATATAATAAATAAAAATTTTTCATTGTATAGTTTTTCAAGAAAAATATTCTTCCGTACTCTAAACTTCTTTTTGCCAGAGTGCCTTAGGTATATCGATTAATTAATTAATAATTATTAATAATTAGCGAGAAACCCAGTGGTAATGTTATTTTAAAACTGTCTCTATCCGATCCTTTTGCCAAACTATTTAATTTAAAATATTCTTCATACGCAGAAAATACTACGAATGCGAATATGTAAGAGACGTATGGAATACCGTAACGCTCTCGTGCTAATATAACGAATCAACCGGCGCTCATGGTCACGAGGCCAAGGTTGTCAGTATTCACTGACAGAAGGAAAGAGCGATTCGCGGGCGTGCACACATGCGTGCACACGCTCGCGTGTGCGAGAAAGTACGCACACGTGCAAAGTGTGCGCTCTTCTCGCAGTCGGCTCAGTACGCGTGCGACGACGCACACGCGTCCGCACGCTTAAACTTTCCGCGTGCACGTCTGCCGAGCGTCCGCGACGGCACTCATGCGCGGATATGCATGTTCATTTCGCGCCGCCGGCAGTTGCAGGCCGATGAGATAATACGGTTATATCTGTACATACGTCAAGTTTCGTTCGCGTCTGAATTAGAAGACTCGGTCGATTGGCAAATTAATAGATCACGGAAGTTGTACAAAGTCGCGCGAATTGTTGGCTCTTATTGTTGCCGGAAAAAGACCGGAAAAGGAGGGGAAAAAGGAAACAATACTTCAAATATTTTTAACTACATATAAACATTGTTATACTTTTTGGAAAAATAAAAATATGTTGAATCACTTCTGTTATTTTCATTATCTTCAATAGAATGATTAGCTGTATCTAATTTTAAAATCAATTAATATTTTCTGCATTTCTGCATTTTTTTCAAAAATACGACGATTTAAATGAATCATCCTTGATTTACATATTCAAATGTATATAAAAATTTTAAAAATATATTTATCTTCATTAAAAAGTTCCGTTTACAAATTGGTATACTTAACAAAATGTAATTGCTTCTATTTATAAAATTAATGACATGTTAATTATATCATGTTACATTAATTACATCATATTACACAATTTGTCACGACTTTAACCGTTCAATGGCTAATGTAATCTCTCTTGTCGCCGTTACTTTGTAGATTTTTCATGACGTCAACGCGAACATACTACAAGTGAGATATAATTATTATCTTTCCTATATTTACTAATGTCTCATTTAATCTAATGATATGCACAAAAGAAAAATATCAATCTTCAAATTTTAAAAAAATGATATACATAAATTTATCAATGACGTTTGCATACAATGCAACACTAATAGAACGATTACATTGCTAACATGTCACAAATGACGTAATTAATGTTTGTAGACGATTCGAGAAGAAATTAATGAAGATTAATTAAGAAGATGACAGTCAGGCAAAGCGTCGATAATTTCATAGATAATTAAAAAAAAAACGTTTAAAATAAAAAACAGTAGTAGTTTTCCTATCTTCGATTTCAGTTTTAATGCAAGGCAGGCTTAGTAACAGTAGCTTAGTAGTCAATTAAGATGAATGATTCCGCGTTACACAGAGAACTCTAATTACGTGAATAAGTGAATAATGTTATTGCATTTTATTGTGGAGACGCCACATATTCAAGCATCTTAAAGGAATTTTTTGACGTGTGACACACCACGCAGTGAAATCTTCTAAAGTTCCACGAAGGTTTGCGGAAGTGACACAACTTTGAATTATTATCTTCCAAGACGTCATGAATCTTCGTACTTTGATCGCGTGTCAACTTCCGCCCCTTGCCTTTGTGCAGAGTGCCAATAACTTAATTCATTATACGGAAGTGTTATTCCCATCTCGAGTAATATAAAAAACAAATTTAATAAATTATAATAAATTAAATTAGTCAACGTAAATTAAAAATCACAAAATATTTAATCGATACATCCTGTAGTCATTTTTTATAAAACTTGATATGAAAATGTATTTTTTAATTTATGAATATTTATATTTATGAATGTTCAACATGATTTGTTATAATTTATTAAAAGTAAATTATATTCAAATATTAAAGTTGAATATATTTTGATCTTTAATTTAAAACCACCGTTCATTGAAGTTGATTATAGAACACGGATTTCGGAAGTTAACAGTTCATAATGGTCTTATTTCAGTGCACTTTCACTCATTTCGTGACTATCTCCGTTCGCTTTCTCGTCGAGTAAGCCAAGTGCAAAGACCAACACGAAGGCGGATCTTGTGATGACGTCAGAACGATTTTCTTATCGTCCAATACGATATCTCCTACGGAAAAAGGATTCCTTATACTAAGAGTTTTACATTTGAGTCTCACTAAGAAAACGTGGGAAGCAAAGCAATAATTTATAGCTGATACATGAACATTTTATAATTCTAGTAGGAAACTTCCGACTTCACGAGCAGGAAACGCCGAGATATCAGAATCTGACGTTCGTTTATTGGAATCAAAGAACAGTTCTTGTAAATGATCTTTATCTTCTATGGGATTTCACGTTCTATGCAATTCTCGAATTATCAAACATTTTATGTTTAAATGAACTAATGATTTTATTATGCTTAAAAGCCTAACAATTTTGTTTTTCAGAATCTCGTAAATAAGACGTTTTACATCGAAGATTTATTATAATGGCAAAAAATCTCGTTAAGAAGCTTAACATATTACTATTATAAATACAATTAATTAAAATGTTTTAATTATCTATATATCTATATTTCTTTAGACAGAACTTTTTATTATAAAAAAAATAATTTTGAAAATAGATTATTTCAATTTTTCTAATATATAAATGCATAATATGCATGTACAATTCCAAATCTTGCTCATTATTTCACAAAGTAAAAAATTTTAATAAAATTGATTATGATTATCTATACTCTAACAACAAACATTAGTAAATATGTGAATTCTAAGGAATTAGTCATAGATGATGAGACTATAATCTGTCTAGCGTCTTTATAGTCTTTGAAGATCGGGCGTGATAGATTGAGGCAATGAATTCTGAATTCCAGACCCTGCACCGCTTTCCCGATTGCTCTCATCGGAAGATTGAGGAATCGATCGGGAATCACAACGGTTGGGATTACCAGCGTGCTCCGTTGTGCAATCTTCTTGACGTCACTCGGTCGTTACACTTGCTTACGACTGATTCATACAACTCACGGGCTTGAGCGCCGCTTAGTATTCTCTTCGCTCGTCGCGCGAATATGTACCGCGCAAGATCGTACTTTTATGTCTTTCCTGCAGTGACAGGAAAGCATTTTTATTGACTGGCGATTTAGTTCGCATGTGAAATAAATTATACTTACATCTGCCATACCTAAATGGCCACATTGAATACGAAGACGATAGTCTGATTGAATCTTAAAGCTGAAATATCAATGTAACATTATGCTCTCATCGTAATTAATCATCGTTAATAAAACGCTCAACTATAGTTGCTACAGAATATAAAAAAATTTTTATATTATAATCATCATGTTTAGGTATTTTATATAATTATTTTTATGGTAAAGCAAAATTAATTTCAGATTATGGCTACATTTTTAACGAAATTATTCTTTCTATGTATCTGAATTTTCATTTGAATCTTCATATAACTCTTTCTCGAAATTTAGACTGAGCAAATGGTGATGAAATCAAAATGTAGAAACAACACGCGACTATCTTTAACTTGATTCTAGATTAGCTGCATTTCATTCCGATAATTTGTCTCATCCAAATGCATTCACGTGCATTGATAAAATTCCACGTTCGTGATCGTCGAGCAAAACATAAAATTGGACGATAAGCTTACAGAAACTGGGGTTTAGAGTTAGGTCCTTCTCTTCGCGGATCGTTACGAAAAACAGGTCAGTACTGCGAGATAACGTGCTGCACGTCACCGTTAACGTAACGATTTATTCAACGTATTATTCAACTTTTGCGCCGTCGCGCGCGTGTGCGCGTGAGTTACAAGGCCGTGGATTTATAGCAGCGTGCGATCGTTCGGACAGTAGAGATCGATGCGTGTGAGTATTGCACCTGTACTTCGTACAAAGCTACATTCCGGCAGGTCATAGGTCGTAGGCAGAAACACTGTTTAAGGTAGGCACATGCAGTAAAAGAGAAAGTTGTGTCGTCGTCTTTGCTCAATATGTCAAATCACAATCGTTAAATGTGTGTGTGTGTGTGTGTGTGTGTGTGTGTGTGTTTATTTTGACACTATTACTTAAATTCATAAAATCTTTGCTATTACGTCTCATCACGCTATTTCTCTCATGCATTTTCATATAAGACTTTATTATTGAAAGTTGAACAATGAATGATCTAATTTTATAATTTTTTTATTTCTATCATAATAAAATGTAAATGTAAAGGATTTTTTTATATAAAATAGTAGCAAAGTAGTAAAATGATAAAATAGTAAAATAAAATAAAAATATATATCTTTAAAATTAACATATTTAAATAGAAAATAAAATAATATCAGGACTAAAAATATAAATATAATTTGTTTGACAGAAAAAATATGTATGATTGAATTTGTAATTTGTAAAATTTGTATAATTGAATAATAAAAAATGAGTCTTAAAGAGAAAAAACAGATAAAGACTTGAATTTGTGAAGAGTAGATATTATAGCTAACTATTTATTCGAGTTATGCTGAGAGAACAGGTTCAAACTTGTACGGACAAAAGATGTAGGAATAAAAAAAAAGCTAAAGGCGGCATCTCATCAAAGTGGGCCGATGATTTAGAGAGTATTCTTCAAATTGATGAGTTGATATCAAGTGGAATTGGATGACAGTGTTATTAATAGTTACTATTGAAATAATCTCAACATTTATAAATTTTTCAAGTCTTATTGTATGTATTATTTCTATGTACAAATATAATTTTAATTAGAAGATGTAAATATAATTATCGTTATTGCTTAAATGTTTAAAATTCTCATACAAAATTAGAATTTGTAAGAATATGTTAAATATATAGTTACTCTGTGAAAAATATATTCATCAAGTAAAAATTTGTAATTAAAAGCCTTTTGATTAAGATCATCCACATATCGTATCATTGCATAAATGATGCTTCTATTTATTCCCGTGAAGTTATATTTTCTGCTCTTTTGTACGATGATAACATAATGATGCCTATGATAAGCCACAATCACTTGATTGCATTTAATATTTTCGATTTAAGAGGCGGATGATCTGGTTACTGGGAAACTTCTCTCGTTCATTTCTCGGAGTTGCGAAATGATTCAGCAATCGTGCACAAGTTTACCTGTGACCCTCTTGCTATAATATTGCCCCTAAATAGTGCGATATAATCATAAATTTTATATCGAGATAAATTTATAAACATTATGATATATAAAATAATATACAATCAACAATAATTATTATTAATTTTAATTTTATTTAATTGAAGAAACATGTAAAAATCAAATTTTTTCTTATTCATATGATTTATTTAATTTAGTTATTCTAATATATTTATCTAATTAATTCAATTAGTCACAACGTCAACATATGAAATTTAAATTTCCTTGCAATTTGTACCTGCAATTTGTAAATAAAACTTATTACATCATTCTCCTCTTCAGATATTAGATAATAATTGTCAGAAATATTAAAAATTAAAATTTTTTGTAAAACTGGTTGACATATTTTTCGATATATCGATTTAAAAAAATGTTAATTCAATTGTACATAAAAATAGCTCTATGTGTCGTCACAGATCGATCACGGCTCTTTCTTTCCCAAAATATCCCTAAGCGGAATGTGAGCCTGCGCATATTTGCAACAAACTTTACGATCGCGTGAAAATAACGATACAGGTATGCTAATTCGCCACGCGAGCCGGTATGCTGATGTTGGATCGTCACGCGTCACTGACCGTTTAGTTGTACGAAACGATGTACCTTTCAACCTAAAGATTAGAAAGGCAGCAATCCACGTTGACACTCTGAGTGTGAAACTCGCATGCTGACCTACGACGTTGATTTATGTCTCCCCCCTGCAGATGCAGATTTAAAAAAAAAGAAGGAAAAACATCTCGCTTCGTTCCGCGTTATAGAGTAACGTCAACAGTCCTTGCCGCATCTATTTCGCCTTCGATACGGTGATTATTGATCTAGAAATTACAAAAGGCTCGACACGTGGTTGTTGTAAAATCTCCAAAGGCCTTGATCAAAAGTCGAAGGCAAATTCCATGAAAACGATCTCCGGTACCCGGATTAAGACGCAGCAAACGACGTATTTGCGGTGCTGAGAGGTGAATCAGGTGAATGATAATGATGTGCCTCGGTATCGTCTGGATATCTTACGCAAAGACCGATCGCCTGTTGTATGCATATATTAATACTGTGCTTCCCCTTTTATGAATAACAGTCATAAAAAAAGACCTTGCGATTACAACGATATGCATAAATGGTCTCGGAAGATCGTGCGATTGCAAATTAAAATGTGTTGTTTGAAATTTTTTAATAATATCAGATGGTACTTAGACAGAATTTGAAAATAATACTAAATATAATAAATAAATATACTAAATAATAAAAAATAAATAAATATATTAAATAATAATAAATCTTATTTTTACAATTACATATAACTCTTTGTATATTTTAATTTCTTATATTTTAACTTTGAATCGCTTTATTTTGATTTTATAATGGTAAATATTTTTGAAAATATAATTGTTAAAATATTTAAAATTTCAATTGTTTATCATTTCTTGCTTGTCACATATTATAAACAATAATATATAATATTTACAGTAATACGGTAATTAAATGATCACATATTCCGTGAAATAACGGAATGTACGATTGCACGAATGAGAGAAGATTTGCATAAGAACCGGCGCAACGAACGTAAGATGAAGATTTTGTAACAGGATTCGATCTTACGCAAGATTTTCAAAAGACGGACTAAATCGACGTGACTAAACGATCGGAAGGTGGTCCAACACGCCTGGTGGTCCACGTCGAAGAAATTTACTCACAATGATTCAAAGCACGAGCCGCACGATCCCAAAACATATAAATGCCAACCAGACTTCAACAAATTTCCACCACCTTACGCTACGTTACGCTATACGCAACATTTAAGCAGATCGTATAATTCCCTGGCTCATTGGAAACTCTCCAAATTGATGACGCAGGTGCAAATTCGCAGAAATATTAAAAGCAATAATTTCAAGTCGAAAGTATACTTAGCACTTATCGTAGAAGACACTGTGACACGTAATCGGACTTATTCAAACTCCATTGAACAGACCGAAAGTCTACGATGCTGCAAAGGAATACTCACTAATTCGCAAAAATAATATACGTCAGCACAAGGAATGAATGAGTTCATGTGCCTGAAGATATAAGCCAGGGGAAATCCATAACATCATTGTGTAATATGCACAAACGTATCTAATCGAAACAGAATTGTGTATTGAATAACGTAAGCATTACAAAGCGATTCTATCTAACATCTATTGTCTCGTTTCATCATGGAAATACTTATATTTCTTTTTACAATTAAGCAAAAATAATTTAATTTTGAGATTTTATTATTTTAAGATGTCACATAATATAATTTTATTACAGATGATATTTTTCAAACTAATTACTTTAAGAAATATTTATATTATTTATATTATTTAAATTTAATTCTTGACGAATAATAAATTATTATTATTAAACTTGAATAAGGAATTCTA